ATTATAATTATAAATATAATTATAATATAATTGGTATTATAGATTGCTAATAGTCCATGGCCCATAAAAATTTACAGACACCCCCCACCAATCCAAAGGAAGACTTGTTAGCATGAAGGATTCTTTCTTTGGGGAAAATTTTTAATAGTTCTAAAAAATGAAGACTTTCAACGAGAGAAGGTAATTCTGGGAGTTTATCAAGATTTCCTAGAGCTAAAAGAAGTCTCAGGGACAGGCGGCTTTCTTCATGAGACTCTTTGTTCAATGGGAATGTGTCTATCAGCAATGAATGCCATCCTAAGTGTGATCAGACGAACAGCGCCGTCCTAAGTGTGAACAAGTCGAATGAGCTCCGACAGATGTCCCACACCAAGCAAGCAACGATGCTGTTAAGCAGGTGCTCTTGTATTGATTCCCCAAATATTGCGATATTCCTCTGAGACATCTGTCACCCCAAACCTCATAACAACTTTCTATCATTTTTGATTAGTCTTTAAAACTATTCTCATGTAAATGGAAAAAAACAAGAGACGATGGCAAATGTTTATTAGGGTGTTGGGCATTTGGGTCGTTTCCAGCTCTGGGTTTTGACGAGCAAAGTTGCTGTGAAGACCCAGACACAGGTCACTCTTCAGACATGTCTTTGTTTCTCTTGGGAGAAGACTTGCTGTTGCGTTTTTGTAAGTGTATGCTGACTGTTTGGAGAAATTGCTGGAACTAGAGGGGTGGCTTAGTGGGTAAAGCGCTCATTGTACAAGGGTGAGGTCCTGAGAGCCGATGCTCAGCTCCCACGTAGAAACTGAGCATGTAACCCCACACCTAGGGGAGTCATGGAGTCAGGAAGGTTCCCTGTCTCCAAAACTGAGGTGGAGGGCCAGTGAGATGGTTGGGTGGATAAATGTGCTTGCCCCTCAACATGGAGGGATGACCTGAGTTTGATCCCTGGGATCCACATAGCGGAGGAAGAGAATCAACTCCTATACGTTATGCTTGCCCACACACAAAATAAATTCAAATACAATGGAAAATCTTTTTAAATGAGGTGGAGAATGACCGAGGAGATACTCAACATCAATTTGTGTCCTCCACACACATATGCATTCCCAGCCAAATATGCACCGCTAGACGCATGTGCACTCCCAGCAACACACATAACCCCTCTACCTGTGTACCCATAGTCACATATGCACCCCCCAAAACACACATAACCGTAACCTTTGTACCTGTGCTCTTACAGTCACAGAACCATACACAAGCACACAAACACCAGATCACATTGCATCCCCAAGCACAAAGTATGACTTTCAATCCTTCCACACCCTTTGGCTGACCTGTCCCAGGAGTGTGTGGTGGTGTGGTGACTCACTGCAGTTTTAATTTCCATTTGCCTGATGATTCTTGATATCAAGACTTTTTGGCACACTGTTGGTCATTTGCAAACCTTTCTTTAGTGATGCTTGTTTCCTCTACCCATTCTGTAAGGCTATCTCTCCTATGTCTTATGGATGCAAATTTTTGCCAGACATGGGAATCGCAGATGTCCCACTTTGCCCTTGCTTTTTTGATTTTCTTAGTTGTGTTTCAGAAGCAGGCATTTCCCATTGTGATGAAGTCCAGTCCATCACTTACAATCATTTTCTGTCCCCCAAAGGCATAAATTTGCATGCCCCAAAGGTGTCGAGATTTCCTCCAGTGTTTGCTTCTAGGAAGTTTCAACTTTTGACTTTCCATTTGTGTGTGAGAGAGTTTCAGGAGAAGCTAGTGCAAGGGACAGGCTGGGTCAAGGTTCACTTATTTGGGGGCCTGGACGTGCAGTTGTTTCCACACCATTTGATGCAAGACTCTCCCATCAGTAAGGGGACTGGCTTAGCACCTGCGCAGGGGGTTGATTGACCATTGAGGTGTTATCTATTTCTGAACGCTGTTCTCTTTTTAATTGATTTCCATGTCTAAAAATTTATCACAGCTTAATTTTTAAAGATGGAAAAACTGGAGCTGACAGACAGAAGAGTCTTGTACAAAGGCAGATAAAATAAGTCAGAAGCCAGGCTAGAACACGGCCCTTCTAAATACGCACCTCGGAGGAGGGGAGGTGGGGGCGGATGCGATCTAAATACATTCTATGCATGTATGAAAGTGTCAAAGAATTTGAAAATGCATATAAGGCTTACCAGAAGTTAGAAAAATTAAGAAGACAGTGATCTATCCTTGTCCTTGGGGAGTCTGTTCCAAGATTTCCACCAATGGGTGCCCAAAGCCACGGAAAGTGCAGAAAAGTTAAGGTTTTCTTCATAGGCACCAAGCTCACCAAGTCTGTAGGTTTTTTTTTTTTTTTCAGGGGCAAAGTCAGCAGACATTTCTCTTTCCTTCTTTGTGATTTCCCCACAAGGATATTGCTTCCTTCTTCCTACTAGATCTTAGCGCCATCAAATGACCTTTTTCTGTCTTTACATTGAGGACTTTCCTCTTTTTTCTTAAATGAAACGCTCTATGGCCTTTCTTAGTCTTATCCACATGGCCAGCATCACTATTCTTGTGCTTTGGGGTTGACATTAAGTAGCAGGACTTACCTGAACATAAACACTCATAGATTCTGTGACAGTCATCGAGGCTTCTAAGCAGCCATGAGCAGACAGTGTGTGTGGGTATCGAGGGACACTGTGCATGTAAAGGTCCGAGTCACATCCTGGTGGGACAGAGCGGGGTGGCATGAGATTTAAACATTCTTTTTAGAACCCTATGCAATTGCAAACATGTAGATTGTTTACCTCTGTAATTTTCCATTTGGTACTTTTGGACCATGACTCACTAGAGATAACCAAAAACCTTGAAAAGAAAACCAAGGTTTTTGATTTTAGCCATTCTGACAGGAGTAAGATGGTATCTCAGAGTTGTTTTGATTTGCATTTCCCTGATCACTAAGGAGGTTGAGCATGACCTTAAGTGTCTTTTGGCCATTTGAACTTCTTCTGTTGAGAATTCTCTGCTCAGTTCAGTGCCCCATTTTTTAATTGGTTTAATTAGCATTTTAAAGTCTAGTTTCTTGAGTTCTTTATATATTTTGGAGATCAGATCTTTGTCTGTTGTGGGGTTGGTGAAGATCTTCTCCTAGTCAGTAGGTAACTTTTTTGTCTTAATGTCAGTGTCCTTTGCTTTACAGAAGCTTCTCAGTTTCAGGAGGTCCCATTTATTCAATGTTGCCCTTAATGTCTGTGCTGCTGGGGTTATACGTAGGAAGTGGTCTCCTGTGCCCATGTGTCGTAGAATACTTCCCACTTTCTCTTCTATCAGGTTCAGTGTGTTCAGATTGATATTGAGGTCTTGGAGCACTGGACTGAACTCCCAAGGCCCAAATGAGGAGCAGAAGGAGGGAAAACATGAGCAAGGAAGTCAGGACCGCGAGGGGTGCGCCCACCCACTGAGACGGTGGGGCTGATCTAATGGGAGCTCACCAAGGCCAGCTGGACTGGGACTGCAAAAGCATGGGATCAAACCGGACTCTCTGAACGTGGTGGACAATGAGGGCTGACTGAGAAGCCATGGACAATGGCACTGGGTTTTGATCCTACTACATGTACTGGCTTTGTGGGAGCCTAGTCTGATTGCGCACCTTCCTGGACCTGGATGGAGGGGGAAGGACCTTGGATTTCCCACAGTCCAGAGAACCCTGACTGCTCTTAGGACTGGAGAGGGAGGGGGAGGGCAGTGGGGGAGAGGGGGAGGGAAATGGGAAGTAGGGAGGAGGCAGAAATTTTTTAATAATAATAAAAAATAAAAAAAAAAGAAAACCAAGGTTAAGGGGAGACCACAGACATAAAGAATAGTGGAGCTATGGATGCTAAGGAGCTCACCAGCCTGCCTGGAGGATAACTGCAAAAGGGACAGACCAGCCAGAGTCTTCCTGGAGCATCTCTTTCACTTTGCACACATTGCTCCACACCTGTGGGCTGGAAGATGGGCGTGGGAAGAATGCCATCGCCACGTGAACACTGAATGCAGCATCACAGAGGCAATGCGGCTGCTGTGTGGCGTACAGCATCTTGGCCACAGCAGGTGCTCAGGTGGCTATGATGGTCCACACCCTCACTCAGCACCTTGCCCCTGAAGTGGCTCAAAGGTTGACCCGTGGTGGTGAGGACAACCTCTGTGGACCCAGGCATTCCATCTGCAGGCACAGACTCCTTTCTGATTCTGGTCCCAAGTCTCTGCAGCACTTCTCTGCAGCATGAAAAGAGAAAATCTTCTAGATGGAGCTCTTAGGAAGTAGACCTGACTGAGACCCCAGTACTGTGTATATGGTGGCCAGAGGGTGGCTTCTTCTCCTTGTCAAACTCTGTCTTTGGAACTCAGCTCATGGATCATTGGCAAAGCCCTGAGAGCCTGCCCAAAGGTTAAAAGTTGCATGATGCTGAGGCCTGAATCTGCTTCCCCCCCCCCCCCCGGGCAGGTGATTGAACTGAGTCTGCAGTGCAAGAGTGTCAGGAGGCAGGGTCTAATGTGAAGCACTTAAGTAGTGAGGCTCCACCTTATTAACACCAACTACAAGGGGATCTGGAAGCCTCAAGTTCAGATTCTTATATTCTTTCTTTCTCGCCATATGATGTCTTCCACCATGCCTGACATCAGTCCCTCAATCTTGGGCTTCCCAGAGTTCAGTGCTGTTCTTGGTACATTACCTAGCCTCAAGTACTCTGCTGTGGCAACAGTGAATGATTTGGAACACATTGCAATTGGTAGTAGTAGAGGACAAACCTCTCCCACGGCAGGCGTGTTTAGGGGGCACGTAGCACAGATTGTATGAGTTTGCATAAATTAAGATAACTGTCTCAAACTCAGAGCTGCATGAGGCCAGAGGCAATGTCAGGGTGCAGAAAAGAGAATGTAGTCTCAGAAGGCAAGGGAGAAAAGAAAGACAAACGTTGGTGCCACCATTTCTGACAATTAGCGTATACACAACAATGTGTCCACACTAAGTCAGTCAAGTACAGGTGAGATTTTATAACAGGTATCTTTATTGGACAGAATCACAATATATATTTATATATTTCCCTTGTATTAACCATCAATTCTATCATAAAAATATATTACAACATTTGATATATATTCACAAAACACAAGCCTTTGTAAACAGAGCAGGCAGCGTTGGCCTTGGATTCAAATCTCTCTCGAGTTTCGTTCCAGTAGAATACAGCTGTAGGCAGGTGCGTCACAGGGAAGGTAAATGTCGCCACATTGGGAGAGAGAGTAGTGATACTTCACTTAAGAATAAATGGAGTCACAGTTTCATTCATTAAATTAGAAAGCAACGTTAAAACTACAATGACGTAAGACACTAAGCTTTTGCTCCATTTGACGCTCAGCGTTCAGCTGTTTGTGTGGAACCTCCACCATATGTAGTATGCACTCACGGGCCTGCACACTGGTGGGAGGGGCATTGACTCTGCAAACACATGAGCTTCCATTCGTCTTCCTAAGAATCTCCTGGGGAGGAATGCTATACCGTGGGGACCCCAATCAAACGTCGCCAGAAATATCTTTTATTTTCCTAAATTTTAAAGTTTTCTTGAAATGTTAAGATATGAAGTGCATTCCCTTGTAGGAGTCTAGCCTCAGCCTTGCTGGACACACTTGTTGTTTCCCGGCCGTGAGGACCCTTGCGTCATCTACTGGCCACTTTCTGGATGCCTCAAGCTATGAATGATACGAGCCTCCCCACCCTCCTTTGTGGATATCAAAAACAAAGGAGATATATGAAAACACAGGGGTGCAAAGCATTGGTTGTCGGTGCCCTGGTGCCCAGGATCCTTCAGAATGGCCTGCTAGCAGGGGCCTTCCACCAGCTCGCCTCTCATCCGCAAGAAATGATGTTGCTTCTATGGGATACAAGGCAAGATCATTCTGCTGTGCTTGCTTGGGGAGGAAGGATGAACATGGCTGATAGCATCTGTTCTCATCCACCACACAGGACACAACACCAGAGGGAGAGTTAGAGCCACCCAAGAGCATCCTCCCCAAATGAGAAGTCCACATTTAGATGCAAGGTTTCAACTCCTCCCAGAGGTGCCTAAACAAAGAATGTGATTCATTCAGCATCGAGTAAACTGCCCCAGGTGGCAGGGAGGGCAAGGTGAGGTACCTTTTTGATTTGCTACTTGCAAATCAGAGCAACTGGGTTTCCTGCAGGGGACCCGGATGGGATTGGCGGGACACCAGATCCCATGAATGCCCCTATGCTTCAGGAGAGATTGTATTTACACACTTCTTGTAAACCAGGATTGTTGAGGTTTGGAATCATTTCAGTTTGCAAGGAAACTTGGCATTCGAAGCTTCCTCAAGCAGGGCGAGTTGGTTACTATTAATAATTCAAGTAAAGGTTTGGCAACAGAGGAGCCGAAGGAAGGCAATGGGAGGCTGGGGATTTGGGGATTGGGTGTTAGGGATTTTAACCAGCCAGAGCAATTACTATGATCTGGTTCCATTCACTCAGATACATTGCAGGAATGTCATTGCGATGGCCTCTGATTCTTTCTACCCTAAACCTGTTCTTGTTGGGTGCTGTGGAGTGTAGTTGAAGCCTGGGACTGCCTGTCTCCAAAAAGGAATTCTAAGCCCTTTGAGACCATCATGATAAGATCTCTACTTCCGTACTAGGGAATACGTAAGATGGTGACTATGCAGACTTCCTGGGCTTGTGTGAGGGGACATGGGTGTTCCTAAGACCATATACATCCAAGGGGTACAATAGGCTTTTGACTCTAAAATATCAATTCCTTTATAAAAAAAAAAAAAATCCTTAAACGTGGGTGTGTGTGATAAAACAGAGCCCTGCTGCTATTGGTTCGAGTCACATTTGACTTTTAAATGTGAAGTATGTGTTTACATGACACATTGCAGGAATGAACTATTCGTCTTTCCTGCAAAGGAAGGTGAGGGTGTGGAATGTCTAATAAGTGTGAAGACAGCCTTTGCACCACGACTGTGTTATGGTACCCTAGGCTATGTCAGTTCTTCATTTGTTCCTGAGGATTGGCAGCAGTATACCTCAGACCCGGCATGGATGCTAACTGTGTAATGCTCACCTAGAGAAAATGAAGATACACCTTTGCTCCCTCTCAGGATATCATCAGAGGAGGTGCCCTAGGAGAAGGCACCTGAATTTGGTCTCTTGGGACTTAATCGTAGCTGTGTGGTGGCTCATGCCTGCAATGTCAGCACCCAGGAGGCTGAGGCAGGATGATTGCTGATCACTGTAAGATCTGGTGCAAGTTTGAGACCAGTGTGGGCTATATGGTGAGTTCAAGGCCAGCTGGGTAACCTGTCTTAAAAATAAGCAAATAAATAAGTAAGCACGTGAACAAATAAACAAAAGAGCAATGAACGTTGAGTAGGAATGAATGTTGGCTTGGTTGCCTACCAGAGTTTGACGATAGAACCCTATTGCTGAAAATACTGCTCACATTAGTCACAGGACATGGTCAAATTAATACTGACCAGGAAGCTTCATCTCTTGCTGGCTAACTCTCATACTACTAGAAGGTGCTATGTAGGTTGCTGGAGAAAATGTCATCAACAGTCTCAGCCATCTGTGAGCCCTGATAACTATAATAAAGACAAACATAGCAGGATTTGCCCTTGGGTATGTACAACAGTGTCACAAATGCTATAGGGTAACCAATCAGTTTCTGGTTGAATTTAAGGCCTTCTATAGAGGAGGAAACACATGCCTGGTACTGCAAATCTGTCCAAGAATGCACAGATGGGGAGTTCACAGGCTCCGTGTGCGTGTGTGTGTGTGTGTGTGTGTGTGTTATTTTAAAGATTTATATTATCATTTTGATAAATGGAGACAGCATTAAACTGCCCTCTTAATTTATATATTTGTGCTATTGATCGATGAGTGCGGCTTGTAGACCTCATCAGAGAAGTTTCTTTATGCAGTGGATAATAGTTAGTGGGAAAAGTGCAGAGAATAAATGAGTGTGGAGTGCTTAGTCACAAACACGCTATCTAAATTACACACACACATACACACACACACACACACACACACACACACACACACACACCAAGGCTCATGGCCCATCATGGGAACTAAAAGATTTGAGAATCAGAGGCTGGGGAGAACCAGATTGACATCACCATGTCTTCTGGCCATGAGAGAACTACAGTGCTCGCTCTCACAGCAGCTGTGGCTGTCTGTGTGACATCAAGCCAGCCAGCGTTCGAGCCCGGGACAGGAAGTGGCGCATGAGCCCTCAGCCCTAACTGAGAAGGTACGGACAGTTTATGCCTTCCAGAGAAGGGAGAGTCAGTTTTGAAGCATGTTGTCTGATATGATGACCATGTTCCACACCGAGAAATATACGGACAGCTCAAATTGGAGCCGATAGCTTTAAAATGTTTTTAAGTAGACACAAATGTGGGGTGGGGTAGGAAGGTAGGGGCAGAACTGGGAGATGTTAAGGGGAGGAACTGGGGGGTAACTAGGATCAAAACACATTATATAAAATTCTCAAAGATATATATATATATGTGTGTGTGTGTGTGTGTGTGTGTGTGTGTGCGTGTGTGTGTGTGTGTAATTAAAATTGACCTCCAGGATCTCAATTCTCTGCACCTTCTGATTGAGCTGTTTTCAACCCTCAGCGAGGTTTGTTTCTGCAGTAAATGGAGTTTAATACAGAGACCCACAGCGGGTCAAACTGCAGAATGTAAGAAACTCCAAGAGTACTCAACCTTGAGTTCTCTCTATATGTGAGACATCTACATGATGCCTCCTCCACCAAGGCTCAGGGGCCATCATTGACGAATGATGAAATGGGAAAATGGGCAGAGCCAGAGGTAGGGAGGACTGCAGCAAAAAGATGTCTTCGGGTCATGACAGGAACCCATCATACACACGAAGTCATGGCAGCTGGGGCTGCGTTCTCCTGCATAAGAGAAAGCCAGTCAAAATCCCAACATGGATCGGGGAGGGGATTACAAAGCCCCATTCTTGGACTGAGAAGCTATTGGCAGTGATGGCTGCTTTGGGAGTATCAGTTTTCTTCTGAGGTCTGTCTCTGAGTGGATTGCCCTGCTCTGATAGACAGACCTACACACCCACACATACCAGAGACACCATTAGAACTCAGTGGTTGAAAGAAAAAAAAAAGAGTGCATGAAGTTGGGAGGGAGGGGGTGGAAAGAAGTGGAGGGACAGACTAGATGGTGAGTAAAGAAGTAAATAAAATATTCAATTAAAATGAATACGTGTCACTCCCCTCAAAATGAATGCAGTTCCTTTCACCTTTTCCCTCTCTATCCTTCCTTCCCTTTCTTCTTTTTTTTCTTCCTGCTTTTTCATTCTTCTCTTTTGGGATAGCTAAATATCTGTCCACGTTTCTCCCTTTTTCTATGCTGTTCTGACTTTAAGAACATGCATCCTGTTGGCCACAGATGGCGTTCCCTGTGTCTTAGGAGTTACTGCCCACTTCTGAGACCCCCCGCCCAGTGTTTCTAAATGCACACTAAGCCCCACCCTACTGGACCTTCCCCAGGCTTGTCCACATCTCCTATGTCTCACCCTTTGTCGCAGCAGTTCTGGCCCAAAGCTCACTGCCTCTGCAAAGTCTTCCAGGGCCTCTGGCTAACAGGGCTGAGCAACACCCTTCACCTAGGCCCACGTAGATACTCGTATTCTCCAGAGACCTGGCACAGGAGGCTCTGGCTTACAGAAATGTGGGGTGACAGGTGAGCACTCCCACATAACTCATAACTGCCTGTCACTCTTGCTCAGCTCCAGTTCTGCCACCCACCACTCCGCACGTCATTGCAGCAGCCCATTCCCTGGCCCTCCGTCACTGAGCAGGCCTTGACTTCTGATGTCTGAGTCAGGCTGACAGAAACCACACTCAGTTTCAGCTGTGCCCTCTCTAAATTCAAGATCACTGAAGTTGGGCAGTTCCATTCCTTAGGACCCATGGCTCCTCCCTCCTGGGAAGCTGACTGCCCAAAGTGTCCAGCTCCTGCACTTCCCTCTGTGTGTGGGGAAGGAGCTGAAGAGGCCTTTGACCACACAACACAGCGCCTGAAGGAAGGCAGGAAAAGCCCTAGTGGAAGTGGCAGCAGCCAGGGAGGGCGGGGAAACTTACAAGGCAGGATCCCGCTCCACACAGATTCATCTGCTGAGCCTGCAGGAACAAAGTGGAGCTTCAAATCCTCTCCTCACCAAAGGTTCTGCACATCATCCCCATGCAAATCCTAAGGGTCCAGGGACTGAGAAGCCTCACTTGGACTCATGGGGTCGGGGAGGGGGATGTTGCACACTACTGATGCTCATGGAGATAGTCGTCCAAAGTTTTGAAGTTTCTTGAAAATGCAGGTTGACAAGGAGTCCTCAGCACCTAAAACACTAACCCTGTATGTAGTGTCTCTGAAGGTGAGCTATCATCTGAGTCAGCTGCCTGGACACCAATACATAGATCACAGAATCTGCATACCAATACATAGATCACAAAATCCCAAGTCCTGCCATCTGGCCTGAATTCACATCTGAAGGGGGAACCCAGGAAGTACTGAAGCACGTCCCTTGGTGACAGTGGGGATGGGGGAGTTTAATAGCCATTCAGACCCTCAGATTCTCAGGAAGGTAATGGGAACCTCACAGTCTCCAGCTCTTTCCCCATGTCGTTCATGGGCTGGAGGATGTGAGCTGATCCAAGAGTTTTTTCTGGCACTTTAAAGAATATCCTCAGGGAAATTGGGCAACTGACTTAACCCTGTGTTAAGGTCAAATCCTGACAACACACCGTCTTTGGGTCCATCCAACAGCCACATCACAGCCAAGCGCTGATGACTACCTGCCTCTAAGCCTGGGCAAGAGTGACAATGAACACACGAGCTTGGCCCTATTCTGTCTACCTTCTCTCGAGGAGAGAGACACATGAAAAAACAAAACAAGACGTATCTCACAAATGCAAGGCAAGAGTTTTATTGCTCAGAGTGACAGGAGCCTGAGCTGAGCCCTGGAAGAAAACACAGTAGGAAACAAGCCAAGGAGGTCACCAAGCCCTGTTTGTCTCCCAGCTGAATGCAGACAACTGTCTATGGGAGGGGAGCTAGCCAGACACCAGTAGTGTGCCATTCAGCAAGCATCCTCTATGCCCAAGGGCCCCAGGCTTCTGAGATCCTGACCTCCTAGAAGGGGATGCAAGAAAAAGGCAGATCGGGGCAGAGAGATGATAAAAGGCAAGCCGTGTGTGTGAGGCCGGAACTGAGCCCTCTGAGTGGATTTGGGATCTGGAAGAGGCTTCTCCTCTGTCAGCACTACTCCCGAGCTTCACAAAATGGTTTCACCTGCCCAGTGGCCCTCAAGTCCAAGTGCTGTGAAGGTGACTCCAAAAACCAGCGGGAGTCAAGCAAGTCAGTGAGACCTTTCACCTTGGGGGGACGGAGTCCTGTTTCATATACCTCACACCTGAGAAAATCACATGTTGTTTGATTAATTAAATTGCCAGAATGAGGTAGATCACGCAGGTGGAAGCAGTGACCTCAGGGGGCGTGTTTTAGAGATGTGCAGACTGGCTATAAACTTGTATGGGGAGGCAATCGCCGGGGCATTGGCTGGTGCTCACTGCCAATGGAGCTGCTTCCTTCTCAATTCCCTTGGGTTTTCAAGCCCGTGCCTAAGTGATAATGAAAACTCTCCATCAATGAGCTTATCTGGGGTTCCTGTCGGTGGCATGATGCCAACGTAGCGGATTTTATTAGATGGTAAGCAGTTTTAGAGGCATAGTGAAAATTACAGCATACATCCTTCCAGATAAGTGGCGTCGTGGGTGGCAGCTCCTGCTTCTTAGTTACGGAAGGGACAGCGAGATCTGGGTGCAACTCAGGGTGCGATATGTTGCCAACACAGAGCAGGCAGAGAAAGGACTGATAGGGTTCCTCTCCCTCCAAGCCAACATGGGAGAGGAGGATGTCCCTCCTTACCTCTGCCTGTCTGCTGACCATTCCCTCTGGGTCACCACTCCTATTTTGCCCAACTTTAACAGTATTTGTGTGAAGGGGGAGATTATTTGGTGCATGCCGTCTTGGCTCCCTGCTTGATTTTGAACTTCCCTAGCACTTTGAGTGTTGGGACAACAGAGGGTAGATACAGCTGCTCTTCCTAGCAGAGCTATAGAAGTGATTGCGGTGATTTGTGTGAGATGGGACAAAATGGACTCTGAAGCAGGACAGTTTTGTCCCAGAAACAAGTATGTGGGAGTGTTGTTCTGGTAGATGGGTGACAACCAGCTCTGCGGGAAAGGGCCGATTTACAACACTTAGTTATTCTGAGTGTATTAAAATTTTCACCGTGGCTAAATTCAAGCTACCTGGGTGACATCTCTTGTCACAGGATGGAGGGATGGACCTCACTAACTCCCCCATAAGGTTGGTACAAAGTCCAAGCAAGTGTCCTGAGGAGTCCCTGCTGGAGCCCAGGTTCTTTTTCCCCAACAAGATAGGTGCTAGTATGCCCCTCCCAGCAATGGGACGATAATAAAGCCTCTTTAGATGTTACAACTGTCTCCATGGAAACTCTGAAGCCTGACAACACTGGGCCTGGTGGAGTTGTTTTCTAAATGAATTGTCAAGAGTTAATGATAGGCTATCTTTTCAAATAGACAAGTAGACATTTCTCTACTTTTAACTCCCGGGGCTGCCTGGCAGGGAAAACCAACGTTCTCCGGGTTGGTTCCTGGTGGAGAGTTCCCTTTGTACTTGTGAGGCTAGGTTGTGTAAAGTTACAAGGAAAGGAAGATCCTTCTGACTTGATGGCTCTCCACCCTTTCCACCCAGAGGAATCTCTTACAGGGCAGAGCAACAACTGCTCTGAGCATTCTCAAGTCAGTCTGTAATGATGAGACAGGAAGAAGGCATGGGCTGTGTGTGTGTGTGTGTGTGTGTGTGTGTGTGTGTGTGTACATCCACACTGCTCTGTGGGGGGTTAGAGGTCAACTTCAGGTGTTGCTTCTCAGCTGCTGTCTACATTGTTCTTTCTTTTTGAGGTCCATCACTGGTTTGTAACTCACCAGTTCAGCTAAATATTGGCTGACCAGTGAGCCCTGGGGAGCGACCTCTTTCCTTCTCCAGGGCTAGGATTACAGGTGCATGCCACCATGGCCAGTTTGCCTTCAGTGTGGACTCTTGGGTCAGACTCGGGGCTTTATGTTTGTATAGTAAGCACATTACTGGCTAAGCTATTTTTCCAGTCCTTATCTTAGATTTTAATGAGACCAAGACAATGGTTCCCAACAGATCGGCTTGTATATTATTGGAAGAACATTCTATACTAATTGCACTCTCTTGTCAGCGCCACAAAGCACTTTTGTGGTGACCTTGGACCGTCCCTGCTTTCCCAGGACAGAATTGCAGAGTGAGGGTAATGAGCCACCAGGAAAGTGGAACCCAGGATCTGAAAACAAAGACTGCGTCCCTGTTCAGGTCAGCTCCTGGGCATCCACCTCACAGGAGATGATGGGCAAGATGTCTAAGACTAGAGAGAGTCCTTCCTACCAGCTTAGACCCCAGGTGGGGTGGTAGGATAGACCAGACACCTTCTTCCTGCTTTACCGGGCTCTCAAAACTATGGCATGCAAATCAGAAGAAAGTGACTTCCTTCTCAGATTTCAGAGACTCTAGCGTTATCTATTACCTGTCTATTGAGACCACTTTCATGCTAAGATTGTCAATACACGCAAACATTAGCTTGTTTGATGGAAGAGGGGCAGAAGTTGAATCCAAATTCCCATTCCTTCTACAACTGGCGGGCAGCAAACTGGTTGTTAAACACTTTTCCATTGAGCGCAGAGCCCAAGGGTGTCAGCTGAGCCAACTGTAGTTGGCACCAGCTGGATAATATTTGGGCTACAGCAGCCACCACTACCAAATGGAAAAAAGATGCCAGATTAGATATGGGCCAGAGGGTCACAGCCAGCCTTACTGAAATGTCCCTTGGAGCATGGAGCCCCATGACCAGTAGCTAGCAAACAGAAGTGTGCCATACCCTACACCCGCCACCAACACTCTGTGTCCTTGACAGTGACTAGCCTACCATCCTTTGGGAGGCCTTTGGTGAGTCTAAATGTTCAAAATACACTCCCAGAAAGAAAGACCAGGACTTGGCTCATGGCCATCCTTTGGTGATGGAACAGTCTGACATCTTCCCTGGAAAAGCCAAGAAGCGGGCCCCGGAACTTGTTCAGACATCAACATCACTGCAATCACCAGGCAATGGCGGCAGTTAATGTCCACCCAGGAGACCAGCCCACCTCCCTTTGCTCTGTCCTCTCGTCCTGAACGCCCCAGCAGGAGAGCGGTCCTTCATTCCGACACCGGCAGAATGTTCTGGCTGTGAGAGTCACCTGTGAGACCCACGGAGCGGGAGTGGATGGAGCGTCTGTTGAAGATCCTGTTCAGAAGCTCCTTGCAGCTCCGACGGTATTGGTGTCGCAGCAAGGAGTACACGAAGGGGTCAGATGCGGCCTTGCTGTAGGCCAAGCACTTGGACAGCACGCCCCAGTGGGAGCCGATGGGTGCTGTGGAGAAGAGCTCCACCAGCCTGTGGAGAGATGGGAGGGTGTCACTGAGGGTGCTGTGGGCGTGTGTTAGGGGCATGGAACCGTGTCAGGTAACAACGAAAGCCATAACGATTCCCAAGCACTCTGTCAACTGTGCACACAGGTTACTGTAGTGAGGCTGGGAGACATGACCACCTCATAGCCTCAAGCTCATAGGGGCACTCAACAGTGAAGGAGGGGTTTAAAACCGTCACCTCTGTGTCTGACCCCCACAAGTCCTTACACTCTGTAGGCCCGCATGTCCTAGCTGTAGAGTAGGGAAGTCGGAGGGGCTTGTTTCTATGATCTTTTAATCCATGAGAGGCTGGTTTGGCTCTGTCTCAAATTCAGTTCCGCCTTCCTAAGAAGTCTATGTGGGAGGAAGGGCTGAGAAAAAAAAAAAAAAAAACCTTTGGAAACATTCTGCTAAGCTCCAGCAGAGCGCCCGCCAGTGAGGAAGAGGTATTCCTAGGACTGGGGTCCTGGTGGCCTCTGACAATAGCAGTAGTCAAAACACTAGAAAGTGACTTTTGTCTCCTGAGGAGGGCAAGGGAGATACATCTTGTGTGCTCAAGAGTTCAGTTTTTCGAGTTCTTCTGATAGCCATGGAACTCACTGAGTGGTGCATACTCCAGACTTCAAGGGCGGTAAGAATTCCTCGGTCTCCACTCCTACCCCTAATTATGATTGCTCTCTCCCAAGTGTTCACTGCCCCACTGGTCAGACTTGAGAAAGCATCTAGCATTAGCATAAGGTCAAAAAGACCCACAAAGCTTGGAGAGTTTGGAGACCCTAAATCACTTCTCCTCCACCCGTTGTCAAATGAGAAGGTTGAGATCCAGAAAGGAGAAGGGTCGTAGCAAGCCTAGTGCCTGTAACCAGCTAGGTTCTGGCAGCTGACCACCACCTGGGACATCTTCTGGAGAGCAGGCCGTGGTGGTTCTCAGCTTGGTGGGTCATCTGGGAGAGGGCTCAGAGACAAGAAGGATAGAGTGTAACTCTGCTGCCAATATAGTTTTTCTAGCTTGGTCTTTGGGTTGAAGTTGTGTGATGGGTCTTAGAGTCAGTGGGAAGGACAGACAGGTGCTCTATGCCATTCCCCACTGAAACTCTTTGTTTCGAATGGATCTCCAGTGAGTCCATAATGAGACCACTGTCTTTGCCCCATCATTCCATCATTGCCCTTTAGTCCTGTGGAGAACCAGGGATACCTTTCTCCTCATTTCACTGACAGATTGCATGAGGAGCTGAGAAACTAGAGATGTGAGCAGAAGGGAAATATTCACTTTTTTTACAAAAAAAAATCCATGCTTTAGAAGTGATGAATTAAAAGAGACAAAAGCCCCAAACTGACGTGTCACACTTGATGAAATAGCCAAATGCTGGCTCGCTGTTGCTGTGTGTCTGTTGCTGCAAATAAAATACCATGACTGAAAAGTAACTTGAGGAGGAAAGGGTTTATTTGGTTCACACTTCCATATGAATGTTCATCATCAAAGGAAGTCAGGATAGAAACTCAAACAGGGCAGGAACTTGGAGGCAGGAGCCAATGAAGAGGCCATGGAGGGGTGCTGCTTACTGGCTTGTTCCTCATGTCTTGTTCTATCTACTTTCTTGTAGAATCCAAGACCACCCTGAGACAGCAACACCTACAATGGGCTGGACCCTCTCCCATCAATCACTAACTAATAGAATACCCTACAGGCTTGCCTACATCCCGATATTTAGGGAGACATTGTCTTAATTGAGGCTCCCTCCTCTCAGATGACTTTAGATTGTGTCGAGTTGACATAAAACTATCCAGCATACCTTGTGATGCCCAGTCATGGTTCCCAGATGGCCTGTATTCTGTATATCTTTAAGGTTGATCCTAGCATCATGGATTGCCCCAAAGTATAGGTGTGTGTTCATGTGTATATGTAGACACACACGTGAATGTGTGAATGCATTCATGGAAATCAAAGAACAACCTGGGCATGTTCCTTCCTCAGACACCTTCCACATTTTATCTGGGATAGCAGGGTACATCACTGGGCTGGAGTCTCACCAGGTTGGGTAGAATAACTGGCCAATAGCTTTGCAAGAATTTGCCTGACTCCATCACCCATTTTGTCCTTGCTGAGGTTAAAGCATCTGCTGCTCCACCTAGCTTTTGACATGGGTTCTGGGGGTCTGAACTCAGGACTTATGATTGCATGACAAATACATTGCTGTTTGAGCTATCCCTCCAGACTCCCAAAAAGAATTCTTTTAAATGTTCGATTATCAAATCATCCAATAAGATCAAAAGTATTTGGAGGCTGTGTAGGGTAAAGTTATAGCATTTTCTTCCCCAAAGTTTTGTCTGAGGTCTGACTCCCTCAGATAATTTCCAGCTTGTGCCTCCTTTGGACCAAGCCCTCGCTGTGTACACTCTCTTGTCTCACAATGACCCTGCAGAGAAGGGCTCATTCCCATCTTACAGATGAGGTCATTGAGGTTCAAAGAAGTTGAGCAGCAAGCCAGGGTCTTCTGCCATGAAGTGAAAGTCCACCCTTGAAGCCTGACTAGAGGCCATGATGGACCCTGGAAGTCAGCTTTGCAGAGTGACAAGATGAGCTTTGGGGACCCTTTTGTCCCCAAGAGGCTCTTTCCATGAAGTCACGATTGGCTGTGCTAAACCATTGTCTCTTGTCCCTCCCCATAAAACCTGTGGCAAGTTCTGCTTTAAAGTCTGTGTCTAGCCTTTGACAGACCCCAGACAAAGGAGGGTTTCAAAGGAACACAAACCAGATTTGGTTCCGTGTAATTCTGGCCAAAGAGATGCGAGGATGTCTTCCTGTTGTTTAAGCCTCTCAGTGTAGTACTCAGTTCGGGCAGTGCCAATACTCCAAAACACCCCGAAAGAACCCCACAGGGATATGGATATGCTGTTAGGTTGCTTGGTTGTTTTGAGGTCCCTGGCTGTAACAACACTGAAATGGAACCAGATCCCCACCCTGTTCCCAGACCCAATAGAAGCCAAGGAGGCACCGGGACTTCCATGGTTTGGCACCTCTGGAGCAGCATGGCCCCTCCTACTCCCCAGCGGACAGCCTTGTCCCTTAAGCACCATTCCTGACACCTGTCCTCACCTTTCTCTAAATACAAGGGGTTTTCCATATCTTTCCTGAGGTGTGAGGTGGAAAAACCTCTGCTTGCCCTAAGGCTCCAACCATAGTGACACTTGTTGTGTGCTCAACAATGCATGTAGAGTAGTCCTGCACACCCCCCTGTTCCCAATCATATTCCCTCGGGAGAGTCCACACCAGTCAACAGCCTGGGGTACAGTAGGATGCATGAAGGGCGGGGTCTGCCTCTCCGAACACTTCAGGTCATTTCGAGGAAGGCATTTGAGTCCTTTAGAGAAGTCTGAGCAGTGAACTGACCTGCGTCTGCGTGTGTACCGATGTGAATGACTGTGTATGTTTGTCTTATCACATGTGTGTGTTGTGTGTACTTGTGCGTCGTATGAATGTATGTGCTTCTTGCTGTGCATGCATGTGCCATGTGTTGTGTGCATGTATGTATTGTGAGCATATTTGCTTGTATGTGCATATGTATGTTATGGGCATGTGAGGACATGTGCCAAATGTATGTAAGTACATTGTGACACCTGAATGTATGTGCACGTGCTCATGAGGTATGTGTATATTACACATGTGTACATTTGTGCTATGTAAATGTATGCATGTGCATCTTGTGTGTGTGCATGTGTGGGTCATGTGCATGTGTGCCTTGTGTTTGTGTATATGTGCATTGTGTATGTATTTGCACATGTGTATGCATGTTTGCCATATGGGTGCATGAGTTATGCACATGTATGCCCAAGTGCATCATGTGTGGGTCAGGTCTATCTACATTTATGTACCATGTGTGTTGTCTACATATATATGTGTGTGTGTGTGTGTGTGTATATCTCGTGTATGTGCATGTATGTTCGTTGAGGAGTAAAAGTGCTTCAAGATTCAGAGCTTGCTGATAGAGAAGATGGACACAGAGAATCGGCTGACGCATGTGATATCTACAGATTATACCCCTGAATTCTGCCTGCCTGTCCATGCCTCTGTGTATGTTGGACTTCTCTGAACTGTGACTCTCTTTGGTGTGGGCCCCTTCTGATGCTTGTTGGCAGCACTCCAAAGTGACTGCCACAGAAAAGGGCTGACATGACAGGAAGCTGCCCACACTTGCCCTTACCCATAGGGGATCCTCACACTACCCACAGTCTGAGCCACCGTGGTCCTTGGAGGAGAGGGTACACATGTCTAAATTCTGGGGCATTCTTTGGATCCTGGAGGAAGTAATATCCAGACCTGTTCCCAGTGGGCATTTCCATGGAGAGAGGCTCAGGGCTGCTGAACACGGGCCCTCAGTACCCTGGGACTCAACACCTCACTGCTTCCCAGACAGCATCCCCAGATCCCATCCTTGTATCATCTTTCCTGTTACACAGAGATCTCATGATTTCTGATTCCAGACTGCCTCATGAGCACTGTTTCCAGTTCAACAGTTCACCTGACACCATCTGCTTTCAAATCCTGAAGGTAAAGCAGCAGATCAGAGCCCCTTCTGCATATGTTCTCTGCCCATCACCGCTCCTCTCACTTTTGTTCTGTTTCTGTCCTTGTAGGTCTCCCTTTGTAACATTCTGCACACACAGAGACACAGACACACACAGACACGGAGACACAGAGACAGGCAGACACAGATAGAGAGACACAGAAACACAGAGACACAGACACACACAGAAAGACATGCAGATACAGACACACAAACACACACACACACACACACACAAGCACATATGTGCACACATACACAACATACACACAGTGTATTGCATTAAAGTGCAATGCAAGTAACAGAACATTGCTTGGGAAAACAGCCCAAAAGTCCTCAAGGCTTCTGGAGACTCAATCTGCATACGTTTGCATATGCAAAGACCTGTAAGCTCTAAGGGGATGCTTTAAGCTTTCATGAG